ATATATATATATATAATGCCTGACCTGATTGTGAGGAGACTACATATCCGGATAACTGAAATTACATCTGATACGTCATATGTTTGGAATAAGATAAATTACAAAAATCATAGTTAAAAACAGATATATTACTAATTAGACAATAGATTATCTCAATGGTCACATGATCTCAATCGCACCCCGTTCAAATGTTTAACGAAACATGAATTATGCAGTTTTCAAGCATACTACGTGATGATAACCTATATGGATACTGAGAGGGTGAACAACTTCAGCGGGACTACTTATAGATACACGATGAAGATGTGCGTGAATATTTATAGCCCATTATTATCTCTTTCTTTAAAATATAAGTTGATTAATGCAGTCAGATCCAAACAGATTATTTGAAAGACTTACATTTTTGAGGTGAATTCTTATTGATTTGCAGTATGATTTCTTAGCGTTGTTAAATTGTCTTAAATATTGTGTATTGTCTACTTGAGTTAGGTAACAGTGTTATTAGTGTTAACAGAAAGTTTACAAAGTTAATAGTGATTTTCAAAGAATCTGAGTAATTGAAAATCATTCACATGAATCAATAGTTTGGATGAGCCCAAATTAAAACAATCTAAACGCTATGTATGTAGTTGAATACATTTAATTTTAGGAAAATTATATTTTCTATTGATAATACATATTTCATTGATCAAATTTCTCAGTAATGAAATTTAAATTTTAAATAACATTCAGTTAGAACTCTTTTTGACAGCAAATACAATTAAAGAGATATAATTAGAGTGACACTTGTGAAAATTTCCAGTTAGAGCTTTAGAAATTTGTGTCTTTACACATTTGAAACCATCAATCAATCATTGTTAGACCACCATTAGGAACCTGGAAGCACTGAAAGATGGCCATTTCGTCCTGGTATGGGACTCGTCAGTGGCATTGCGCATTCACGACTCCCGCACCTCGCAGGATTCGAACCCGGGACCTTTGGTATTGTGCGCGAACGCCTAACCATCGGACTACTGTGCAGGAGTCGTGGGTGCGCACTGCCACTGATCAGTCCCATACCAGAAAGAAACAGCCGTCTTCCAGTGCTTTCAGGTTTCTAATGGTGGTCTAACTATGATTGATTGACTGATGATTTCAAACTTGTAAAAATGTTGAAAATAATAAACTGAGCAGGAGAGCAATGTCATCATACTCTTTATTACATATACCTAATTGGTATTACATGGACACAAAAATGTAATTCATATATATCACCGTTTACCATTTTTTTCATTAAAACAATGCAATTTTGAAATGCATCTAATTTATGAGTTTCTAAGCTTATTTATTTATTTGCTATTCAAACAACAGTAATGACAAAATCATGTGATTTAGCTCATTGTTCATTAGAATTATTTTCAAAGCGATAACTAATATATATACCATGAATGGGGAGAAGAAATTGAAGTAGAACAATGTGTATGTATATACATATATATATACATACATATATATATATATACCTATGTTGTTCAATGATAAAATGCCAACGTTTTAAATGATAAATGGTTCATTGTTCAATGTTCTTCCCTGTCCGTTCCTCCCCTTTCTACCAATCCCTTTTTCTTTATTCTTTTAAAACAAAATAAATAATATATCTGTACATATATTTTAGAGAAGAATAAAGAATAAAAAAAGACTAGTAAATCATTTTGTAAAACAATCTACTTGTCAAATTGGGAAGATATATGTATGTATATTGCATAAGTTCATTACATACATACCTACATACACAGATATATGAACATAATTATTGTGTTGATGATTGTCGTTACATGAATGTTGTGTTAAGGTAAGGAGTAGTAGTGTTAAAACATGCGAAATATAGTTTCTCAGAACAGAACAAGATGAATGCTTGTTGGTTGGTTGATGTTTTTAGTTTGACTTCTGTTATTTATGCTACTTTCATGATTAACTAACTAAGAGAGTTAAACTTTTAAACTGGTAACATTTGATTATGTCATACAAAATAATATATATAAACAAAGGATGTTTACAATCAATATATTTTGTTTTTTTTAAAAAAAACTTGAGGAATGCCTTCCTTATTTTATCTAACTCATATACTACTATATATATTAGTAGTATTTCCCCACCACAGTATATATTCATGTTTTTTTTTTAAACAAAAAACATTAACGTTATTTAAGTAAGATGACCACCAATAATATTTCATTGTTTTCTACAATTTTTAAAACATGTTTTCTTTTTTCCCTCAAAACACAAATTTTAAAACGTAAGAACAACAGAAAAACTTCAACAGTAAAAAAACACATGTATGTAAAGAGACAGAGAGAGAGGAAGATAAAGGAAGTGGTGAGACAAAGGAATATAACTAGAGAAGTAAATAAGTAAGTAAGTAAGTAAGTAAGTAAGTAAATAAGTATGAGAATCTAATGATGATTCAGCTAGATGAGATAATGTAGCATAAAGTGCCCATAAATCTCATGATTTGCTTTTAGTTAGTTCTAAAAAAAACAAAAAATTAAAGTACCGCTTTTTTTTGTTTGTATTTAATGTATGTTCAACTTTCAATTCATATTTCACTACTGAAAATAACTAAAATCACATGTGAAAATCTATAGATATGTGTAAATCTACGCAATGACCAAGCAAAGTAGTAGTAGAAGTAGCATTATGTAAATTATTTAGTTTGTTTTAAAAGAAAATGAAACACTTAACACATTTTAACTATTATTATCACTATTATTACTAGTACTACTACTATTATTCTTTTCATGCTTTAAAATCACCCATCATCTATTTTAGCCTGCTTTTTTACACTTAGTACCTAAGTAAATGCTGATCTTTGTGTCATGAATATGAGGATGATGATGGTTAACTTAAAACATAGAGTCAAAAAAAATTAGACATTAACACGTTGTTTCTCATAACATTTTAAATTTACTTTTACTAGTTCAAATGTAAAAGACGAAAGTATGACGATAGATAGATAGATAGAAAGTTTGTTTTGCTTGCCACCAGTTGATATGCTTGAACTATTACGAGTTCACCTTAGTCGGTACACGAGAGAGAAGACAAATGATCCAGTGAAACGATAGGCTATTCTAATCTGTTGTCTGAGGGCCTGCTAACCATATCAAGAAGTCTTCATAAGGCGTAGAAAGTGTATTCTACAAGCACCCAGAAAATATGAGGTCGAGAAGCACACAAATCGATAGAAAGGTCCTGTGGAGAGCCACAAAAATAGCGTACTAAAATAACACATCAACCAATGACAGTCAAGGATTTTGCGGGTGGGAAAGGTGATCTCAAGTTCGACTAATCAGCCAATGCACAAAATCACAAAATCCAAAATTAGGACCTCTATCAAGTGAGTTCTAGGGATCTACGTCCCCAACAAAGTTGAAAAGTTATCATGAAGTAGCCAAATGAAGTTAGATTAGAATTTTTCGTTTGTGATGCATAGTCAGAAATTTTAAGATACGTACAAATGCTTCTAGAGCTTTACAGCCGAGTAACAATTCAAGTATCTAATTCATTGATAACTTAACACATAACAATAAGTTATGATTACATTTTCGTCTAATACAATGGTACTTCTAAAATGCTAATCAGATTAGATGAAAGTTCTGGAGAGAACTTCACTCAAATCAAAACTATTCACCACTTTATTTCAACTTATTAAATTAACGATGCTTGAATAATATCTTCGAACCTTAAAGCTACCGATTACTGCTAATACTTCTACTACCTCTAGTAGTACGGTATTTGAAGTGACAATTGTATCTCTGTGCTGATTTGGTTTGGCAATTTGAATTGATGTACGTACGTACGTACGTACGTACGAAGTTTTATGTTGTTGTCAACTGACTGATGCCATACAAACCAAAAAATGTAAAAGTCGCTGATTCAAGTTGATATCAGATTATAAAGGGAATTTATTTCGATTATCTTATGTTATTTCTAATTGATTTTCACCCCAAGCAACCGCATAGAATCTTCACTCACTCAGTCAGTCATTTGCAACGTAGAACTTCGTACGTATGTACATAAGTTCATGTTGCCATACCACATTAACACACAGACGCAAATGTCAAATCAAATCCCATAGTGATAAAGATAGTAGAGGGATTAATGGTAATGAAGAACACTAGGGTTTGAAGGTATTATTCAAGAAGTATAATTCAGTGAGATAAGGTTAGAAAGACAATCCAGAAGATTAGGATTTGAGAGAGCTCAACGAATGGATGCACTTGCTCCATTGCAAACGATTTTGAGCCATGTCGTTCAAGGTCTCTAACCATCGGTGACTTTTGTCTCGCGGACCCCATCCAGGTAGTCTACATCTACCAA